ATTTCGTCTGTTAAATCCTACCCGATCGGGTGGGGGTTTCTACCAGGTCGGGTTTCGCTCCTGGGCAGTCAAATTTATTGTTTTCTTCTCTTCAAAGTCTTCCTTTCCAACACCACAAATCCTAACTATACTTTACAACTTATAAATAAAGAATAAAATACAATTACAACTGAAATTACAAAAATGTTTACAAACTAAATCAAATGTCAAACAATCAACATAAATCAAACATAAAAACATGCAATTATGCACTACTAATTAGTGTGCATCAGTTCTCCCATTTTCTTTTCTTTGCCTCCTCAGCATTCCTTCATTTCCTTTCCACCCACTCTTTCTCCCCCTTCAAGCCTTGTTCAACCACTTGACTAAACGTCATATTAGGCAATTGTGTAGCCCTCTCGCGTATGTCAAGGTCCAAGGCATCCCAGAAATGGTTCACCATCCGGTTTTCATCACAAATGTACTCCGGTATGAACTCAGCAAGCTTTCTGAATTTGTGCTCAAGTTCCTTCACCGTACATTCACCTCCTTGGATCAAATTAGTGTACTCCCTCCTCTTCAAGTTCACCTCGAAGTCGGAGTAGTATTGGCTAAAGAACTTCTGTGGGAAATTCTCCTAGGTGACAGCCTCGCCGTACTTCCCCTTTGTTCCATCCCACCATGTGGACGCCATGCCTTCTAGTAGCCTCGTGGCTACTCTCAACTTCATGTGGGGTGGCAGTTGCATGTCGAGGGCCACCTCATTGAATCTTTTGATTTACTCGGCCGCCACGGAGATGTCCCCCATTCCATCAAATGGTTTACATCCCAAGTCTCTTGCCTCTTTGAGGTACTTTGAGATCCTTATTATAGGGACCTCAACACCCCCCCTCCTCGGGGTTCTACGATCTCCCTATGAGTTACGCGGCTTCCTCTCCTTGAAGCCCCTTCCAAAGCACGCCTTGCCCGGCGCCTTTGGTGATCTTGGTGGTATTGCCAAAGCAATTCCTCAATCCATTCGAGAGCTTCATTATCATCGCTCTCGTCACTAGCATCATCAAACTCCCCATCATATGGGGTCTCAACCGGTTCGGTTCCCGGTTGGTAAGTTGAATCCTCCTCGGACTCATACTGCTCGTCTATTGTTTCCACATGACCGTCACTCACGGTCAGCGAGTGACCTGCACGGCCTTGTCTCCTAGACACCCTCGATCCTCCCCGACTGCCACGTTGGGATCCTCCCGGTGCTTGGCCAGTCGGGTTCCGACGAGTAACTTTCCCGTTACGTTCCATTTCTGAAAGAAATTTAGAATGAGTCATTAGACTCGTATCAAATGTCAATTGACGGATAGGCACTTAAAGACATCTTTTGGCTCAAATCACCGCCATACCAATTGTTAAGGGTACCATCTTAACAATTAGAGACATTGCAACTCAAGTACCAAAAGTTCTATAAGTACAAAACTTCATGCTCATGGTTTTCAAATTCATTTCAAAAAAATGAAGATTCATTATGATGTTTACGGACTAAGGCTCTGATACCAATTAAATTGTCACGCCCCGGATCTACCCGGACACGTCAACAACCCTCCGTACAGTACGAATAGTCAACCGCAGTCCAACTCGTCCATACTATATAAGGCGTCTTGAATACCGTACCATTCACACATAGTACATCCATAAACAAACATAATGTAAAACATTCATTTAAAACAGTGGAAGCATATAATAAAAGTGTCTTAGCCACACTTTGGCAAACATGGGCATACAAGCCCCCAAATGATTATTCAAAAATAATATCCATGAGCATTAACATAAGTGTTTTTAAAACAGAACGGGAGAAGCACGAACCACGTCTTCTTCCCTTGATTTTCCCCGGAGCAACGGGCGATGGTAGCAGCTCAACTCCTACCTGAAACTGTGAGGTGGCCTCCCCCGTGAAGGGGAAGTCAGTATTTGGAAGCATTTGACAAGTACAATGACAACTATACCGAGTATAATCAACGCTTTAATTTCTAAGACCCTCAAAATAGGGTGATATCATAATATAAATAATAATTTATATTTCCCACTTATTATCTCTATAATAAGTAAATTCATTTATTTGTCGGCACACGGCCCTTCTCATATATTCTTTGCATTTATCATTTGTACAACCCAACCCGTGGGTCTCATTATTTCTACGGGATTTGCTACCGCTGTCGGAGACCTCGTGAGGTTCTCGGTTCGGATTTCAACATCCCGCCCCTGGACACATACCCATCATCCCGTAGGAAGGTAAGGCCCTTCGGGGTCCTATCTTATGTGTTACCGCTACCGGAGCCTAGTTAGGTCTCCGATTCGGATTCCACCCTAACTCATGATCACGATGCAAGTCCATGCTATCCAACCCCGCTCTCTAGAGTCGGGAAGGGCCATGGTCCTTACTTATTTCCATAATTCAACCGGCTATCCTCAAGGACTACCAAACACACCCGTAGGCCAATCCTATATCTAGGATCAATTTATTATTTACTTTATCTTGGGTATCCCTTAAGGCCTACCCCTATTATAACTTAATGTTCATACTTTCCTACCTTAGAGCATCTCTTAAGACTACTTAAGGCATAACATTTCACAATCCAACCTTAGGATCAATCTTAACAACATTTCATTTAATTTCCAACTAGTATCTTAATACTAGTCAAATTAATTGCAACAAACCAAGTTCTCAACTCATAGTCCTATAGACAATTCCAACTGATTTTCCATTGAAAATATCATTTATCACAATATTCAAAATATCACTTTTAATCACTCATATATTCTAATATGAAGAAAAAAGTATATTTCAACATATGTTTCATAATTAATTCCACTTTCAAGTCAACATACTCATAACACATGATCATACACAATTTACTCTTAAATTTGTATATCATGCTCCTTTTCTCTATAGACATTAGTCTTCTCATTCTTAGGCATTATTAATCATTAATAATCCATAAAAACACATTTAATTACCTTAGGTAAGCTCATGAAATTAACTCACTAATTATAAGCAATATAGTCAGCCATCCTCACCTTATGATGTGCTGAAATAGTTTCCTTTGTTAAGCTCCCCGATTAATCCTTGTTTTAAACCGATAAGAAGGCAAAACTGAACTGCCTGGACAAAAGCCGGGCGGCTTTCACGAAAGCCGGGCGACATTCGTCCTCCTGCAACACGAACAACTTCCTATATGTGGCGGTTTCCGGTGATTTCGACTCCTATCGATTCACCAACTCTTCTAAGTTAATTACCATCATTATATATCAACATTCTACACTTTTTAAACGTGTAGAACTTCATGTTTACTCCACCATATGATTTCTTACAAATCATACTCAAAAAACTAGTTAAAGAGTTATTTGGTGTTCTTACCTCAAGCCTAGCTCTTCTCCCTGGATTTTCTAGCTTCCTCTTCCTCAATGAGGCCTTGAGAGTTTGGTTTCCTGGAGCTCTTCTCCTCTTGTGTCGGTCAGATGAAGATAAGGGGTGGAGAGAGGGTGCCTTCTCAATCAACACAATTGATTTGGGTGAGATAGGACCCTAACATGGGTTTTTGTCTCAAAGGAGACTTCCTCCTCCTCCCTTGTGCGTACCAGCACGTTTGGCTGCTCCCCCTCCCCTATTATTCGGTCAATCAGCACCCATAAAAACGTGGGGTGGCCCCCACTTATGTGGGAGGTCATCCCATTATGTCCCGGTGTGTACAATCGGCCCCGAAAGTTGTATTTCTCGGACCCTTTGGGTTATATTTTATTTTATCAGGCCAAATAAAATATATCACGTGTTTCCACTATATATGGGCCTTTAGAATAGATGTACATTACCCAACATTAATTTAGGAGTCTCCAAAACTCATTTCGGGCTGTTATCCGCTAAATTACCAATACCGGTAATTGGGTCTCGTTTGACCCACCGGTCAACTCTATGCCCTTCCCATTACCCAATTAAAATATCCACCTCCATATAGATGTCATCTAGACCAAGATGAATATAACATGTGGTTCGGGAATTATCGGGCGGTCCCCGTTCCCGCTGTGGGCCTCACATGCAATTTACTATTCACGTAAAAGAAATAATAAAATTTAACAATTACGTAAATTCATAACTCATCCTTCAAGGTTTATTACATAATTTACTAAAAGTAAACATGCTTGGGGACGGTGTCACACCTTCCTTCATCAAAGTTGTAGCTAATGAAGTCTTCTATCCAACACAACTTGCAAAACTAGATTTGAATAATCCAATCAAAATATATGAATAAAATGGTGGAAGGTCTCATTCTGAAATCTCAACAGAGATTATCTGACTTCATCGTCTGTTTTGACCTTGCTTCTCTCATATTCTCGCAATGATTTTTTCATATGATTTGTAGCCCTTGAATTGGCTTTAATATGAAACTTGAATCGTGTTCTTTGGATGTTCCTAAGAAAATATATGCTTGAACGATTGATAGAATGTCATCCTCACCGCTCTTTTCAAACCCTATTCGTCTTCTTTTGATCTCGTACCTAATTTTAGCTCTTTTGTCTTCAAAACTTTGTCTTTAACACCTCACTGACCTTCAATGCTCCTAATCAACTCTCAAATGCTTCTCAACTCGTCCCTATTGCTTCTTAAACGCCGGTGTCGGCCTCAAATTCTCTGATTTTGACTCTAAAAATACCAAAACTCGAACCAACGCCCGGTAAATATGACTTGAGCTTAAAATTGAGACTTATGAAGTTATTAATGATTTTGCACTTCAAAAGGTATGAATAATAGGCCAATAGGGTGTTACAAGTATAAGTTTTCCTTGTGTTTTGCATATGTTTGCATTTAAAATTTTATCCTTTTGAATATTACAAACATTATATCGTGAACTTTGAATATGCTTTTTTCCATAAGGTGATTTTTATTCAATTTATCGGATTTTAAAAGTGATTTGTACATGATAAATAATTTTCATCTTGGAAGTCAGCAATGCTCAAGCCGCCTCTTGCGGCATGTCCGATGGACATTAGAAGTAGACACAACTAACTCTTAAAAAGTCAATAGATCGATCCATAAAGTCTTATACCGACTTGATTGTGTTCATTTTCCATCGCAATTCCTAGGTGTTTCAGTTTCTCTGCTCTACAAGTACAACTGTACAAGTGTCATTCAATTCCAGCTTAGCTTGGTCAATCGGTTGTTCGCTAAATTAAATATCGTTCAGAGTACGATTATATCAGCTTAATTAAATAATTCCGATCCACACAGGGTAGAAGTTAAAAGTAATGGCGTGTTTGTTTCCACCTAGAATGACAGTCCGGATGCGTAAGCCGGAGTTAGTGACGCCAAAAACGGCAACGCCACGGGAGAAGAAGCCGCTCTCTGACGTGGACGACCAAGCCAGCCTCCGCTACCAAATGCCGTTGCTATGGTTTTACAAAAGCAAGGCGGCGGCGGCGGCCTCTGATCCGGCTGAGCTCATTCGGGAAGGTCTGGCGAAGGCGCTGGTGTACTACTACCCGCTGGCCGGCAGGCTCGTCGAAGGGCCCAACAAGAAGCTGAGTGTGGACTGCACCGGCGAGGGAGTGCTTTTTCTGAGGGCGGAGGCCAACCTTTCCCTCCAGAAGTTGGGCCGTTTTGTGCAATCGCCGTGCCCTTATCTCCAGAAGCTTCTGTATCACGTGCCTGGCTCCGATTATATCACCGGCGCCCCTCTTCTCCTTATTCAGGTACCCGTCCCTTTATTTCCATTTGCTTATACTATCCGTTCTTAAATAAATGCAACACTTTGACTTTTACACTATTCACATATTCTACTTTGACTATATTTTATTTATTAATGTAATAATATTATTTTATGAAAAAAAATTGTTAAACTTGTCTCATTGTAAATTTTCATAATCTAATTTTTTTTAATTTTTTTTACTAATACAAAATCATTTATATTAATGGTCAAAGTTGTGTCTTGACAAGTGTGAAATGTTGACCGTTGCATTTATTTAAGAAAACTTGTACAAAATACTTCTACTAGATACCATTTAACCATCTTATCAGTCAAGTTTAAGTCTATAAATTTTGTTTTAGTAATATTTCCACGACAAACTTTGTTATACCTCCGGTCTATAATACTTGTTTGAAAATGATTTGGATTTTAGTATCAGTCGTCAATCCATTTTTACGTAGTACCTTCGTATTGTTTGTAATAAATTGGGAAAGTTCCGGACTAAAAAAATTTGAAAATTCCAAAATAGGATTGTCATGTTTTTATTTTCAAAATATGACTAATTACTGTCACGTTTAGAAAATACTGACATGTTTGAAATCTGGTACTGCCAAAACATGACAGTAATTAGTCATATTTTGGGAATAAAAAAAATTACAATCCTATTTTGGAATTTTCAAATTGTTTCAGTTCTATTTCAGGTAATATCTCAATAATATGCGGTTGTGGCTATTAATGTGAATTTATTTTATTATTTATGTGAAATAATAAACAAATGAGATCTTCCCTAAATAGAGTAAGTAATTCTCCTAAATAGTAATTAACTCGAGTAAAGTGTTGCTTAGTAAATAGGGCAAATTATACCGTGCAACCGGCGCACCATGAGGATGGTGCGCCCGGTTGCAAAACGACGTTCCCTCCCCTTTTTTTTTTACTTTTGTTTTTAAAAATGATAATAATTTTTTTATTTTTGATCCGATTTTTATAAAATTTATATCAACATTTTTTATTTTTCATTATCTTTCAAATGAGACCAATATTGCTAATGTAATTTTAAGAAATTATCGAACTATTATATTAATGAGTATTGGATTATAAGGAAAATCGAATCTGTTTGGGAGATGATAGGTTTGTGAAATAGAAGATCGAATCTGTTTGGGAGTGGATCAGTGGCCTCAGTCACATTTGATAATACAATGAGTTACATCTTTTTATGAGCGAGTTACATCTTTTTATAAGTAAGTTACATCTTTTTATAAGCAAGTTACATCTTTTTATAAGCAAGTTACATCTTTTTAAAAGCGAGTTACATATATATAAACACAAGTTGCATTTGACATGCCTGAACGCGACTTACATATATTTACACGTAAAGTTACATATTTTTACACGTAAAGTTACATATTTATACACGCGAGTTACATATTTATACACACGAGTTGCATTTGACCTGTCTGAACGCGAGTTACATATTTTTTTTACGTAAAGTTACATATTGTTACACGTAGAGATACATATTTATACACACGAGTTGTATTTGGCCTGACTGAACGTGAGTTACATATTTTAACATGTAAAATTACATATTTTACACGCAAATGTTAATATGTTAAAATTACATAGGCAATATTGGTCTCATTTGAAAGATCATGAAAAATAAAAAATGTTGATATAAATTTTATAAAAATCGGATCAAAAAAAAAGTTATTACCATTTTTTAAAAACAAAAGGAAAAAAAAGTTATTAAATAGAGTATGTATACTTTTATTACCCAAAAATGATGACAAATTATACCCTACGATCGGCGCACCATAAGCATTGTGCCCGGTCCCAAAAGTGAGTAAAATATCCCAACGCGACCTTCTTTCTCCCTGCGCGACTCTTCTCCCCCATTGAGATATTCCACTCCCAGATCCGCGACTTAACCATCTTCATATCCCAATGGCTCCACTATTGCAGCAACGTTGAACAAAGCTACAGTTTGGCTCTACCAACCCGACGCATTGCAGATCAGCTATCGTCTCTATTCTTTCCCTTTTTTCATTTCGGCGATGCCTCCACCTGTTGCCATCGCCGCCTACTATCTAGCCTCAATTTCCACCATTTTTAAATAGAAATAACTTACAAATGGACTAAATGCCTTCTGCGATCTACAAGAAGGTGTAGCTATATATTAATGTGTATTTTTGGCCGGAAGTTACATGTCTGTAAATGCGTTTTACATTTCAAAGGGCTGAAATTACATCTCTAAGGTTACATCTGACTTGCTTCTGAGTTACATTTCAGTTAAAGGAATTTACATTTCAATGAGTTACATCTCAATGAGTATAATTTACATTTTGATAAACCTTAAGATACATATGGATTCACATGGTTTACATTTTATATAAACTTGGGAGTAGGATGATCACCATGCATCACTCCCACGGTATAGAAAGTGAAAAGGGATCATTACACCAAATTTAATTTAGCCATCTATTTAATTAATTTCAATTGTGCATCACCCATTCGCCCCACGGTATAGAACGTAAATGGCGCATGTAGATCGAGGCAAGCAAAAGAGAGCGGCAGCGAGCAACATCAAGCCGCGGCCAGCGGCAAGCTTTAGTTCGCGGTGAAATAGAGGCTCATTGTGCTTCTGTTCCTTTTTCTTCTTCTTTCCATTCAAAAGATTTTTGGAAGAACTGTGTTTTTATATGTATATACTTCCTCCGTTCTTTAATTTTTGTAACATTGTGATTTTTGCACTATTCACAGACCTTACTTTGATCACGATTTTCTACTAATATATATTATGTATAATCAAATTATTACGTATACAATGTTATTAAATTCCTATCAATGTGAATTTTCAATATATCAAATTTTTATAATGTTTACTAATACATAATTAAATATAATTACAGTCAAAGTTGTGCGATGACAAACGTGAAACTCAAACTGTTAAAAGAATTAAAGAACGGAGAATACTACATGTGTCCTGACCGGTTGACCGGTAAGGAAGGGTCGCCGAAAGATTACTCATACTCTCTATATATAAACATAGAAATTGATGTGAACAAAAAACAGGTAGGAAGGAGTAGCTTTTCTCAGATTATTGATTGTATATGAAGTACATACTAAATTCGACACGACCTCCCATGTGCGGTGGCAACTTGCAAGACGAAAATATGGATTATATCATTGCTGCTATGACTGCCTATGACAAGTTGACAACCAACCTTATAATAGGGTTGCTCGGAATCAATATTTAGGTTTGGGAAATTTTTAATTATACTCGTATTTGTTTAGATGCATGTCAAACATTCCGCACATCAAATTTAGAAAATACTACGTACAGATACTCCATGATTGTAGGGATTTTCCACCGCTTTCTTAGAAGTTGTCAAGAGACATATAACACCTTCTAAGAAGGAGGTCTACAACATCTAAACATGGGAGGAGATTATTTGGAGATATCTAAGATGCAATTCCTCTTGTCTCCAAACTAGTCATATAAATAGAGTGCTCCATGTTGTTCATTTGTATCAGTTTAGAAAGTGAGAAAAGTGTGTGAAGCGTGAAATACACTTAGTGTAGAAGTGTATTAGTGAGGATTGATTTTTTGTAACAGTTGAGTGTGAGAGTTTGCTAATTCTATTGTAATTCTGTTCTTGATATTGAATAGAAGAATTTTCAAATCCCAACAAGTGGTATCAGAGCGAGATTGAGTTTCCATACACTTTTTATCATTTTTCAGAAAAAATTCCACACGTTAGAAAATCGTGATTTTTGAAGTTGCTCGGAATCATGATCTGATCATACCGGTAGATTCGTCTCGTCGAGAGGAGAAATCTGGTATTTTTGGGGAAATTATTGGCCACCATAGGAGGCCGTATGCGCCGCCCAACCGCCGCCTGAAACTGCCTGCGTCATCACGTGCAGTCCAGAGGAAGAAGACGACCCATTAGCGCCACATCAGCGTCAGGTCATCACCACGTCACGCCCAACCAGCTCCAGGTCAGCTGCCACGTCATCCGATCAGGCTGCCGATCTGAGCCACGTCATCTGCCACGGTGTCGCCACGACAGTGCCACGTCAGCGCCATCACCGAGTCAGATGTTCCACGTCATCCGCCAGCTGGTCTGCACATTGGGCTACTGCCTGAAACGGACCGAACCGGTTCGTAGTTGTGGAGGCCGTTTCACCCGTTTCCAGACCGGTTTTGGACGAGGTCGGACCGGTTTGGCCATTCGGCTTTCGGCCAACAGTGAGCTCTGTTTGTCCAAATTCGGCTTCGAAAATAAGATACGAGATATATTGAGCATTTTATTATGGATAAATCATCATCGGACACCATGATTGCGCTCACCTCCACAAACTACAATATGTGGAAGCCTCGAATGGAGGATTTGCTAAATTTGAGGGATTTAGCCGATCCTCTTTATAATAATGGCGTCAAACCGGATAACAAGACAGATGAAGAATGAACAAAATTGAATCGAAAAATTGCCGCACAGACTCGACAGTGGATCGAGCATAGTGTGTTTCACCATGTTGCTCAAGAACAGAGTGCTTACACACTATGGGAGAAGCTTGGTAGCATGTATCAAGCAAAAACCGCCCGAAATAAGACGTTACTAATGAGGCGATTAGTAAACCCCAAGTTACGAGGTGGTATTTCGATGTCAGAACACACAGTCAATTTCAGGATCTCGTGAATCAGTTGAGCACTACCGGATGGGTTCTCAAAGATGAAGAGCAGGTGATACTACTCTTGAGCTCTCTACCTGACAGCTGGGAGACTCTTGTTGTCATTCTCAGTAATTCTGCTCCAAATGGGAAGGTGACTATGCAGATGGTCATAGATGCCTTAATGATTGAAGAAGTACGAAGGAAGGAAGCCAGGACGGAACAATCATATGCCCTCATATCAGAAACTAACAGACGAGTGGGAGGCAGAAATGGAGGAAGAAGTCGAGGTCGAGGTAGAGGCAAAGGTCAAAGTAGAGGAAATTCTGATGTTCGCCGCAGATCACAAGAGAGAGGTATGCCCTTTGAAAACAATACTTTGTTTGAAGGATATTGCAATTACTGTGGTAATTATGGGCATAGGAAAAGAGATTGTAGAAAGTTTCTACGAGAGCAGTCACAGACGAGTCATGAAAATAGTAGCCAAGAAGATGGTGCGACCATGGTTAGTTTGTCATCAGACGTGTTACTTGTTACACATGGTGAACAAGAATGTTTACACGTAGGTACTCATCATGTTGAGTGGGTGGTTGATACAGCCGCATCATTTCACGCCACTCCACATCAGAACTTAGCTTATTCACATCTTATAAGTTCGGAGACTTTGGAGCTGTGAAGATGGGAAACACCAGTTTCTCAAAGGTTGTTGGCATTGGTGATGTGCACATAGCAACCAATGTCGGATGCACGCTTGTGTTGAAAGATATTCGACATGTTTCGGATCTTAGATTGAATCTTATCTTCGGTATAACTCTGGATCAGCAAGGATACCTTAACCGATTCAAAGAAGGTACGTGGAAGATATCTAAAGGTTCCTTGATTGTTGCAAGAGGACATATTTGTGGTACTCTTTATAAAACTCATGCAAAGTTGTGTAATCCAAGTCTTAATTCTGTTGAAGAAGAGACATCACCAAACTTGTGGCACCAGAGGTTAGGTCACTTGAGCGTGAAGGAATTGACAACTCTTGCGAAGAAGGAAGCCATTTCCATAAGCAAAGGTATTGCCCTAGATCCATGGGAGCACTGTCTATTTGGGAAATAACACAGAGTTTCCTTGAGTTCTACCAGGAAGAACCATTTAGAGTAACTCAGTCTTGTCCACTCTGATGTATGTGGACCCATTGAAGAGGAGTCACTTGGAGGAAGCAGATATTTTGTGACATTCATTGATGATGCGTCACGAAAGGTATGGGCTTACTGTCTAAAGAGTAAGGATCAAGTGTTTGATTGTTTCAAACTATTTCATGTCATGGTAGAAAGAGAAACATGGAAGAAGTTAAAGTGTCTACGTTCAGACAATGGAGGAGACACTACTACAGAAGTAACATTCCACGTCAGTTAGTTCATACCTTTCACGTCGGTTTTCTGAGAGACGTGTAAGAAGGAGACGTAAGAGGTAAGGACATTTGACGTCGATTAAAGAACCGACGTAAAATTTTCCTTTCACGTCGGTTTTATATAAAACCGACGTTACATATATTTTTGAAAAAATAAAATAAATACAAGTTACGTAGGTTATTTAACAGAACCGGCGTTGAATATAATTTCAAAAAAAATTAAAAAAAATACATATTATTGTTTACCACAATGATGATTCACAGAAGTGATAGAAGCTACTGAGCAGATCCAAAATGAGCGAGGGAATAGGTGTTCCGTTTGATAGTTCTACCTGCTTAGAGTATAAGTTCAAACCATCAGCCTTCTTAAAAACAGTTAGTAACGAGGAGTAAAAAATAGAAGAAGTAGCAAGAAAATATGCACGACATCAAAGATGTTTTCATAAAATGCTTTTTATGTTTTTAAAGCGTCTTACCTTAAACCAGCTTTTCATAATTTTGTACCATTGCTACAACTATAACTTTTAGTAGCATTAATGTGTTCCTATGTATTTCAATTTGGTATTTCTTCTGAAACTGCTCCACAAATCACATAAAGTATAGGAAATCTTTTGCTATCAATAAAATTAGCATTCTGGTTTTAGATTCTTTAGTATTTTGCATAATAATCATTTCATTTCCTTATCTAAATGAAATACGGTATGATATATACACTAATTAAATTTTAGATACCCTTTTTTTTTACTAATTATACGGTATGTTTACCTTTTGTGGTCGGTTATAAAAAAAAACCGGCGTAATAGATGTTTTAATGATGGTTTTTGAATAATCGACGTTATATGTGCGACGTGGTATACCCTTTTTGTAGTAGTGAAAGTACACTTCCTGGGAATTCTCGGCATATTGCGCCGCATATGGAATCAGACATGAGAAGACGGTTCCACGAACTCCACAACACAGTGGTGTAGCGGGTGAGTATGGCTAAACTACCCAAGCCATTATGGGGTGAAGCTGTGCTGACATCTTGTTATCTTATAAACAAATCACCTTATGTTCCTTTAAACATTGAAGTGCCAGAGAAGAAATGGTCAGGAAGAGATGTTTCTTACTCTCACTTGAAAGTGTTCGGGTGCAAGGCATTTGCACATGTGTCCAAGGAGTTGAGATAGAAGCTTGATCTCAAATCAAACCCATGCATCTTCATCGGCTATGGAGATGGAGAATTTGGATACCGGTTGTGGGATCTCGAAGTGAAGAAAGTTATACGAAGCAGATATGTTGTATTTAATGAAAACAAGTTTCATGAGTGTGCTCCAATAATGCGTAAACAACATACTCCAGAAGACGAATTCCCTGTATCATCAAACATTCCTCTCAGCGATGAGGAGATGTATGATACTACTGAGCAAGAGAGTGATGGTTCAGTAGGTAATGATGATGATCACAGTGATGCTATTCCTCAGCAGGGGGAGCCTTCATCTGAAGACGAAGCTGAAGGTACTCATGTTCGACATTCTATGTGAGGCATAGTTCCACAGAGAAAATACTCCACATCCGAATGGATACTTATTGCCAGCGAGGGGGAGCTAGCGAGCATCACAGAAACGAGAAAATAAAGAAAAAGGTGGAGGGGGAGATTTGTAGGGATTTTCACCCTCTTTCTTGGAAGTTGCCAAGAGACATATAACACCTTCTACAAAGGAGGTCTACAACATCTAAACATGGGAGGAGATTATTTGGAGATAGCTAGGAAGCTCCTTAGCCATGTGAATGAAAGTTTGGATGCAACTTACTCTTGTCTCCAAACTAGTCCTATAAATAGAGTGCTCCATGTTGTTCATTTGTATGAGTTTAGAAAGTGAGAAAAGTGTGTAAAGAGTGAAATACACTTATTGTAGAAGTGTATTAGTGAGGATTGTTTTTTGTAATAGTTGAGTGTGAGAGTTTGCTCCTCCTATTGTAATTCTAATCTTGATATTGAATAGAAGAATTTTCCAATCCCAACAATAACGAAATATGCATATAACGACTTATTAAGAGTGTGTTTACAATAACGGTTTCTAATGAATTTGAAGGCCCATGTTCAAATACAAATTTGAGGCACCACTTTAATATTAAAAACTAAAAAGGATTCTCAATATAAATTCTTATTATTCTCATATCAATTAAATAATCATTAAATAATATAATTAAATAATTACAGGTAGTAATTTCCTTCTTTTTCTACATTTTTTTTGTAAAATGTTTCAATTTATGAGGGCATTATTACACGGAGAGATTAAGTATGAATTTAGCTCCAACCCAAGTTCATATATGATAATATACACTATTATGGTATATTACTATATTATATAATTAATTAATGTTAGTGACCTAAAAAAATATTACTAGTGTCTTATAAATATGGTGTCCCATGGAAAATGGAGTCCTGTTCTGTTTTCGACCTGTACAAAAACGGGTTCGGGTCAGGCTCAGGCCGGACTTTTTATAAATTAATTTGGGGAAGGATGAAGTTTTAATATGCCCTTATTTGGTTGGATTATTTAATTTAATCAATGATACAAACATACGTAAATTGGAAATGGAGAAGTTTAATTTTTAGAAATTGCTCTAAATAGTAGGTAAAATGTTTTGAAATTTCAAAATAGGAGTATTATTTTTTTATTCCCTAAATAGGAGTAATTTGACAAGTTTGGAAAAAAATGTCAAGTTTTAAATCCTATTAATGTTAAACTTGACAGAAATTTACTCTTATTGAAGAAATAAAAAACTTTATACCGTTAGTTTAGAATTTCAAAACTTTTTTAATTCTAGCTTAATTTTTCCTACAAGTGACGTGAATGTGTGGGTTTTTTCATTCGCAGGTGACTCGTTTCACATGCGGCGGATTTGCGCTTGGCGTCCGGTTAAACCACACCATGGTGGACGGCTATGGCATCTTCCTCTTCCTAAAGGCAGTCTGCGAATTAGCCACCGGCGCTTTAGCGCCCTCCGTTTTACCGGTGTGGGAGAGAGAGCTGTTGACCGCTGCTGCTGATTCATCGGTGACGGCGGCGGTGACAGAGCACACTATTTACGGCAGCTCCGTCACGGTGGCCACCAGTAACAAAAAGCAGTTCAAGCTGCTCGACGTTGAGAGGTGGGCCAGCTTGGCCCTGGACTTCGAAAAAGTGGCAGCCCAACCCCGTTTCTTCTTCTACCCCACCATAGTGAGACCCATTCTGCTTCACCGCTCATTCACCCTCACTCCACAAGATATTCAGGCTCTCAAAGACCGAGTTCTGGAGGAGGGCCTGGGAAAGTGCTCCACGTTTGAGGTGATTTCCGCGTGTTTGTGGAAATGCCGCACCGTCGGGCTTCAGCCCGACCCCAACGCTACGGTCACCGTCACCTTCCCCACTGACATTCGTGGAAGATCGTCGGCGACCGGGCTGACGATTCCTCGTGGGTACTACGGAAACGCCATCGTGATGCTGTCCGCCGCCGCCAACGCAAAGATGTTGTGCGAGAGTCCCCTGTCGTACGCCATCCAGTTGATAAGAGGAGCTAAAGAGAAACTGAATCGCGACTACGTCAAGTCGGCGATTGACTTCTTGGTGGTTAACGGGCGCCGGAGGTTACCGATCGAGAGGAGTTTACTCATTTCAGACCTATCGAAAATTGGTCTCGAGAAACTAGATTTTGGTTGGGGGAATGCTATTTATGCCGGCACCGCCACAGCCGCTTACGGCGCCTCTTTCCTAGAACGTCCGAAGAGCAGCGCAAGTGTGGAGGGCGGGGTTTTGGTGCCTATTGCTTTGCCACACGTTTCTATGCTGATTTTCAGTCGGGAGTTCAAGAAGATGGCTATGTCGTCGTCGTCTTACACACCGGTGCTCAGGCCTGGCCCTTATACCCGTCTATAGAAAAAACTAAATAAATTAAGACAAATTTTGGTAGATTGTTCATATAAAACAATGAAAACATTGAAATTCAATTATTCAAATATAAATAAGGTGCTTGCTATGGTACCCAACAAAAATAGGAAGATATCATACCTAGGATGCATTTCATTGATGCAACTCAAAGTTTTACATTTTATTTGCATTTAAATTATTCAATTGAATTTTTTTTATTGGTCCATACCATCAAGGTACCATAGAAATTGTCTATACATAAATGATGAAGTAATGATGTGAATCTATCATGTCTTATACGTGTGTTATCCTCACTGTTTTATGTTTAAAGAACCGGACAGAGAGGAGACCCAGATAAATGCCTGGGTCGTGGGTCAACCCGGTCAAGCCCGGTAAAGTTTGATACCCGTCTAGTCATTTGTCAACTTTATGACCGGGTAAACCTATACTGATGCAATGTTACACCGTAGTGATGCAATGTTACACCGTAGTGATGCAATGTTACGCCGTAGTGATGCAAATTAGTCACGTTATTTTTCAAAACGGTGATTTTTTCCATTAAAAATTGATTTGATCCACTCATTTTCTCATTTTAATGGCTAAGATTACTTCTCATTTTTCACAGGAGGAGTACTTTGTATTTGAACCTACCTATATATATATATATATATATATATATATATATATATATATATATATATATATATATTGGTTCAAATAAAAGGTATTATCTGATGCACTAGGTGACACTGGAATGTGCAGAATAAAAAGTATGATGTGATGTTATTTTTCTATCTTTTATTCCGCACATTTCAGTTTCACCTAATGCACACTTGAGTTTAAATTTTTATTCTACACATTTCAATATTATCTTATGCACATTTCAGTTCCACATAATACAATCCAATGATCCGGATTCATTCTCATTTCTCTCATGAGAGTCCGTTCTTACCGGAACCGCTCCCTATATATATATATATATATATATATATATATATATATATATATATATATAATGTTAAATTTGTAATGTAAAAATATTTTCCTTCATTAAAAAATATCATTATCTACTACGTAGTATACAATTTTTAAGTAACATGTATTTAAAAAGTAAACCATATATACATTTGAAATTAGAGGAACAAAAAAATAAACATAAAATTAATCACATATCTTTAAAATCTTGTATAGATATGTTTTGCACGTATATTGGGAATATTTTATACTTATGAAGCAGTGTATAATAACAATATTGTGTATTATTAAATTAGTTTTCATATTGTTACTATTATTAATTACTCCCTCCGGTCCAAAATGAAATTTACACTTTGACTTCACGCAAATTAAGGAAATAAATTTGACTTTACTGTAGAGTACACTGTTGTGACACTGTATGACACTATTTGGCACTGCTTGACACTGTTTTACACTGTTTTGATGTAAATAATTTGCCACATAAAGAAGGGAGAAGAAGAGTGGAGTTTATTTTGGACCTACCCAAAAAGGAAAGTGTGAATTTCATTTGGGACCCGAAAGAGTATTAATTAATAAAGGGGGTTTAAGATGCAATTATATTTAGTAAAGAATAATTATTGTGAAGAACCGTTAGTTTATAACCAGTACGAATTGTTGAGTTGTTAGCCAGGTGTTGAAGGATGTGTGAGGTCTGCGATTGGAATCCCTTTGGTTGTGTATTTTTTCACCTAAAGGCAGTGGCGGATCCAGGATTAGAAGTTATTGGGGGCAGAAAAAATGCATCACAAAAAATAATAATAAAGTAGCAATGTAATATTACAATAATTAATGTCTTACAAAATACATCACAATTGTTCGCGTCGAGTTTTCATCTTTTGAAAGAGATCCATTACAGTTTCATTTGTAATAGTTTCAAACACATCTCTTTCAATGAAACAAATCAGACAATCACTCAAATACTTATCGCCAATTCTATTACGCAAATTAGTCTTCACTATTTTCATAGCGGAAAAACATCTCTCTACGGTTGCTGTGGCAACTGGCAAAGTCAATGCTAGCTTTAAAAGCTTATACACCAAAGGATGTGAAAGATGTTTCCTTGTATCCACCATCACTCTAGCAAGATCACCAAGACTTTTCAATCTAGCAAACCTTTCATCCGCTAACACATTGTCAATATAAATATTAACTTGGTGCTCAAGAGTTCTGCGTTCCACACAACTGAAGTCACTTGGATAAAATTCAGCCAATCTCAACAATTTTGAAGCATCAAACTCACGGAAGGAATCAATCGGACTCAAAGAAGATATGCAAAGAAGTAGCTCGGAATTTACCTCATTGAGACGGTCATCAAATTCATTAATTTGCAAATCCATTATGGTATTAAAACATTCATACTCATAATGATGCCGATTAGTGATATTAGTTCTTTGACGTGGCCTCCTTGGGTTAACAAAGTCCTCATCCATATTAAGCACTGAAATTTCATGCTTCTCACAAAATTCTAAGATCTTCCTCAAATGAGAATCCCATCCATCAGCTCTTACCTTAAGCAATTGTTGCTTTGTTGTTTTCACAAGTGAAACAACATTCAATATGTCTTGATCTTTCTTTTGAAGAGCCACTGACAAAGAATTTGTGAGTCCCAAGATAAGCAACATCAACTGCAAATAAAACACAAATTTAAATGATTGAAAATATGTTAGAAGACCATTAGACTGGCGTCTTTTGACACTGTCTACGCCCTCCACTTCAATGTGCACAAGGACTTGAACAACTGATGGAAACAGTTCAATCAAATTGAGAAGTGTTCTATAATGGGAACCCCAACGTGTATTTCCCGGTCTTTGAAGGGCAAGCTCCTGATTTAATCCTGTCCCGGTGCTAATTTCACCATTACTTATAGCTTCTTTCACTTTTTCTTGATGACTTTCTCGAATCATATCTCTTCTTTTGCAAGACGCTCCAACCACATTTAATAAAAGAGATATCATTTCAAAAAAATCACCAACATCAAAGTGTTTCTTCGAAACCGCCACAACAACTAATTGTAGTTGATGAGCAAAACAATGGATATAGTAGGCTGAGCTACTTTCTTTCATGATTAAAGCTCTGAATCCATTGAACTCACCTTGCATATTGCTTGCGCCATCGTACCCTTGGCCTCTAACATTTTTCAAACTCAAGCCATATTCAGAAAATACAGAATCAATAGCAGATTTAAGAGACAAAGAAGATGTATCTTTCACATGAACAACACCAATAAATCTTTCTTTAACTATGCCACGCCGATCAACGTACCTCAACACCATAGCCAATTGCTCCTTGTAAGACACATCACTAGACTCATCAACCAACAAACTAAACACATCATCACCTATCTCCTTAAGCACAGAGTGAACAACTTCCTGTGCAAAATAATTAGCAATGTCTTTTTGAATGCTAGGAGCAACTACTTGATTATTTCCTGGAGCATTTTTCAATACAACCTTACTCACAACATCATTTTGACTAGCAGTATACTTTACTAGTTCCAGAAAATTGCCTCTATTGTTAGACTCTTCAGATTCATCATGACCACGATAAGGCAGTCCTTGACGCAATAAAAATCTTGAAACATCAATAGAAGCATTCAAACGAATACGATATTCATTCTTCACAATTTCTTTTTGTGGGAAGTCATGACCACGTGGTTGACAAGGTCCTTTAATCAAATATTTTCTCCTGATTTCATCTATTTGATTAGGATGGTACTCAGAAATTTTCCTTCTTTTTGCGGGATCTGAGGGAAGCTCATCCAAATCAACTTGTTTAGGTATTGATGAAGAACATTGAGATGCAATATTTGAAGCATTATTATTTGAACTACCCGGTGAAGGAACGGTAGCCCAATATCTCTTCATTGAGTCTGGAAAAGAAGTTAAATTAAAATTAACTGTTTTAATACATTTCATTTAACTACCTAAAATATTATAAAACATTCTAAAATTGATATAATTAACAATTTCACTAACTAAAATTAAAATTAACTGTTTTAATACATTTCATTTAACTACCTAAGTACCTAAAATATTATAAAACATTCTAAAATTGATATAATTAACAATTTCACTAACTAAAATTAAAATTAACTGTTTTAATACATTTCATTTAACAATTTCATCAATAACATTTAATCTAATTGAAAAAATTAAAGTGAAAATTGAAAAGATTAAAGGCTTAGGGGCTTACCTAGACCCTAGTGGCGAGTTGGCGACTAGAGAACAGGAGAAGTGCGGACACTGGACAGCCGCCAGCCGGACAGCGGACTGCGGACGCCGGACAGCGGACTGCGGACAGCCGGACAGCGGACAACGGGCAAGGAGCGTCGCCGCGTCGTTCACTTCTGCGCGAAGGGGAAGTATTTTGTTCTGCACTTCTGCGTCGTTGAGTCGTTCACTTCGTCGACCGGGCGAGAGGATTTTGGCATTTTTGGGGCAGGCCGAAGGGTTTTGGGTTATTGGGGGCAGGCCATTTTTTTTATTGGGGGCAGACCATTTTTTTATTGGGGGCAAACTATTGGGCTTTTAATATTTTTTTAAAAATTAGGAGGGTTTAGTGGGCCTTTATTGGGGGCAGCTGCCCCCCCCCCCCCCCCCCCCCCCCTCCAACAAGAGTAGATCCGCCCCTGCGGACACTGGACAGCCGCCAGCCGGACAGCGGACTGCGGACAGCCGGACAGCGGACAGCGGGCAAGGAGCGTCGCCGCGTCGTTCACTTCTGCGCGAAGGGGAAGTATTTTGTTCTGCACTTCTGCGTCGTTGAGTCGTTCACTTCGTCGACCGGGCGAGAGGATTTTGGCATTTTTGGGGCAGGCTGAAGGGTTTTGGGTTATTGGGGGCTGACGAGCACTTTGTCACGGTGCGTCAAAATAAATTCAATACTAAACACTTATACGTAGTATAGTGTAGTAGAGTTCGTATCCACAGGGAAAGGTATAATTCTCTTTCTATGAAACTAGTAATAAAAAGGGGGGTTTTGGTTTTGAGTGATTTAATTCAATTAAGAAACTAAGATGAACAACCTATATGTGTTTAATTTCAAGAATAAAAGGGACTTGGCTTTGCTAATTTCCACTTGTTGATATATTTTAGTCGATCCTTGTTATATCTATAACTTATCCCCTCTCGAATACTCAATCGAGGAGTATCTCCAATTCATCGAGGGTAGTTATTAACAACGACCGTTCATTAATAACCCTTACTATTAATCAAATATAGAACAACGCCTTATACCGATATAATAGTAGCATTCAATCTTTTTAACTCCTTGATGAAATCAATTGAGATTGATAACCTTAACACAACGGTTTCGGTTTAACCAACAAAATTGATCCCTCTTAAGTCTATTAACCACGACCGTGCATTAATAAACCGAAGTTACTTACTTGTGAAACCACCAACGATTAACCATCGGTTCGTTGATCGTTTCTAGTAGTAATTAATGTCGGAACGTTAACTAATCGTCACTTAGCAACCCTCCAACATTAATATAGAATGAGATTAAGGGAAGAATTAATAATCAAGAGAAGAAGTTAAGAAAATAACTCACAACTTTAATAATCAACAAGCTTCAAGAGCAAAACCAAGAATGGAAGTTTAGCTCCTCATTTGGAGGCTAAACATAGCTAGAAAAATATAAAGAAATGCTATTCTAAACTGAGCTAAAGAGATTGGAAGAAGGGATGATTTTTTTGTGAAGAAAAAGTGTGCTATTTATAGGTGTTTTTCAACACCTTTGGCCGGGTACCCGACCGGGTATAGGTACATACCCGACCGGGTACCGGTCAAAATCAGATAATCTCCCACGTTTCATTGTTCCAGCACGTTAATTTGTCCGGGTCAAGTCAGACCCGACCGGGTCAAGTGAGGGACCCGACCGGGTTTGGTCTAAATCAGTTTTTTTCCAAATCTTTATGATCTTCAGCATGTTCCGGTGTTCCGGGTCATGCCTGACCCGACCGGGTCGGGTATGGGACCCGACCGGGTCTTACTTTTCCTTCTTAGATCTGTTCCTCAACTGACCCGACCGGGTTCAAGGTCTGACCCGGTCGGGTTTTTGTGCTCCTGGGTCTTTTTGTCTTCAGTTTTTCTCCCTTTTTCCTTGCTACAAACTCTATCACTATTCTAAAACTCCGAAAAAGGAGAGAACAATTAAAAACAAAATAAAACAAGTACTTACAAACTAACTAAAAGTGATGGAAAATCCACACTCAATCAACATAAAAACATACGTTTATGCACTATAAACTAGTGCATATCAAACACCCCCACACTTGAATTTTTACTAGTCTCGAGTAAAACATATTCTGTCCAAGGGGTCCTTAATTGACAAGAGTAGCAACACCAACATCCACAAAAAACATAAAGCGTCTCCAAAATCAAAAGAGTAAAGATGGGTCTTCAATTTCAATCCGAACTCTCTATAGTACTCGCCCTCAGGATCCTGCAAAATCAAAAGAAATAACTTTCTCTCATTCTCTCATTTTGCCTAGGTGCCCTTTCAGGTTTTCAACCCAGCTTCCCACATTTTTTTTATTTTCTTTTTTTATCTCACAAACTCACTCCTATTTTTGCTTTATTTTTGCTTAAGCTGCCCTTTGTGGGTTTTCAACTTAACAAGCTTTCGTTTATTTTTTTTATTTTTTATTATTTGTTTTTTTTTGAAGAGATAACAAGAATAAAGAGTGTGAATGTGAACATACCGGGAAGATCTCCCCCACCACTAGTCCGTGGCACAGTCTCTAGTGCCCGCCCGCATCTCCGCCATCGAAAACTCCTCCATAGCCTCTGTACTGTGTATCCTCGTCCATATGATCCCCGCTGTATCCGTCTTCCCCGCCTCCACCACTAGAGGTTGAGCCACCAAAATAACCCCATTCAGTGGGGCTGTACCATGAAGGTGCCGGAGGAGGAGTGGTCATGGAGGTGAAGTTTCCATGATGCGCGATATAGGAGTAGATTGGCCCAAAAGTCCTCCTTTGATCTTCTTCATATCGGCGCCAATCGTCTCGCCTTTGTTCTTCAATCCTCTCGAAGCTGTGCCTTTGCTCATTTCTGTACAGCCCGACTTCCTCCCGAAGTTGGGTGTAATTGAGGTTGAGAGCATTCATGATGTTTAGCATTTCTTGCTCAAATGGAGAGTATTGATGAGCATGGGGTTGTGGGCGAGGTTGTTCAGGAATGATGGGTGGTGCTTCAAGGGCAGGCTGTTCATTGGCGGCTTCATTGTCCCCCGCCTCATTTTCTGGGGGTGCAAAGTGTGGTGGAATTCCCCCGGGCATACAATAGTGGTGTCCATCACCGATTTGGTGATCGATGATGTTAAGCGGGAGGTTTTCGGAAGGGAAGGGGTAGAACAGTTCTTGGCCTGGTTTGATGTGCCAATTGTAGATTTCTAGGCCATCATGTTCGATATGTGAGAGGGTCACATCGTCAGCATTCTTTAAAAATTGAAGGTCAAGAAGGGTCCTGTGGTTTTGTGCACCATTGCATACAAAACCATATAACGTGGCAATGTGGGTAATTAGACCCCCTATCAGAATTTTTCCTCCACCACTTTAAACATTGATGATGTGATCCCAAAGAACTGTGGTCACATCATATGGCCCGGCACCCGGAAGAACAGCTTGTGCTAGGAGGCATACATCCCACACCCTAGTTTGATGGTTGTTTGGTCTTCCGAAAAAACAATTAGCCAAGAATTTTAAGAAAATTCGGAAGACCGGGTGTTGGACATGGTTGACATTGAGGTGGGAGGTACGAATTTTGACAATTCCGGTCATTCTTCCCCATAGTTCATAGGCCACCGGTGAGCTATACGCTACCGTGTCATCAAGCAAAGGTAGACCGAAGTGTTCAGCGAATTCTCGTTTGGTGAGTGAGCGGTTCTCGTTGTGCAAACGAAAGTTGATCGTCTTATTTGTGTGATCATTTGCATCCTTCACATGCTCAACGGAACTGTAGAATTCATATACCAAACGAGAATATGGCCAATAGTGCATATCAAATATTTTAAGCATGCCACACCTTTGGAATATCTCTCTCATAATGTCATGAATCCAGAACATTGTTAAAGTCAATTGGCATACAAAGCGGGAGGGTTTTACCTCTCGTTCGGATTGTTCAAGGAAGCGGATGCGTTGTGATTCGGTCTCAAACTCCACTGATTCGAACCCCTCTACTGGTGGAATAGCTCTTGGAGCTCTTGAAGAAGAAGCTCTTGCCTTTTTTGGTGCCATGGAATTGTTTTCCTCCTTTTTTTTTTTGAAGGGTTTTTGATTTTTTTTGGAGAGGTGAGGTTTGGTGAGGGTGAGTGGTATGGTTTTGTAGAGGATGATGAGGAGAAGAGGTTTTTGGTGTTTGTTGGGGAATTTGGCTTGAAATTGGACCTTGAATGTCCGAAAATGGAGAGGTTCGAAATTTGGGGTAGGGTTTTTGAGTTTGGTTGATTTGGGGGATTTTGGAGGGATTAATTGGTGTAGGGTGGAAGAGGGAGGTGAGGAGATGAAGAAATTGATGTTTTTTGATGGATTTGGTGTGGGAATGGGGGAGATTTGGGAGTTTTGGTGGATGAAAATGGAGGTTTGGGGAGGGTTTGTTCGAAATTTGGGGAGAAGGAATGGGGAAGAAGAACAAATGCCCGACCTGGTATATGCTGAAAAGTCGTTGACCCGGTCGGGTCCCCTTATTTACCCGATCCGGTCAGCGTTCCGGAGGTAGGCAGAATGTTTTTTGGCTGGACACCCGGTCGGGTCTCCTTATTTGACCCGGTCGGGTAAGCTGCGTTCTTAACCAGTGAGGTCTGGTTGTTGATACCCGATCGGGTGAAATAAGGTACCCGGTCGGGTTTTGCCCCCTTTTATCAGTTTTATCACTCCCCCACCCGGGTAGCCATGCGGGTATCTCCGTCTGTCTGCAATACCCGACCGGGTGAACTCACATACCCGGTCGGGTTTTGCCCCCTTCTATCAGTTTTTTTTTTCTTGTTTTTTTTTTCTTGTTTTTTTTTTATGAAATGATTTTACACACACACTCTACTAAAATAAAAAGAAGAAAAACATACCGTGCATGGGTTGCCTCCCAAGAAGCGCTTTATTTAACGTCGTGGCTCGACGATATCTTCTGTTGTTCCTCATTCGTAGACCGGTTCAGAAAGGTCTACGACTTCCACATTTTTGGGTTGAAAACCCTCAAAGAAGGGTTTTAATCTCTGTCCGTTTACTTTCAGCACCTCTCCCGT